TAGAGAAAAACTTTAGGAGCAGCAGTCAAGGAAGCATTTGGTGGAGCGTCTTCAAGTTGTTGTAAAGGAGAAGAAGATAAGTGATCGTGTATTTTATTTGTTGTATTTCCTCAAACAGAACATTGAGTGGAATTTTCTTATTTTCAAATGAAGTTTTGCGGTATGTGATGAAAGTTAAGGTTATATGGAGTATTTTGGGGAGAATTAAATGGTAAAGTAAGGAGATGGTTGTGTGTGTTGTAGAGTTTTATTCCTTCTTCTACTTCTTGAGTTAAGGATAGAGAAAAACTTTAGGAGCAGCAGTCAAGGAAGCATTTGGTGGAGCGTCTTCAAGTTGTTGTAAAGGAGAAGAAGATAAGTGATCGTGTATTTTATTTGTTGTATTTCCTCAAACAGAACATTGAGTGGAATTTTCTTATTTTCAAATGAAGTTTTGCGGTATGATCTTCATGCTTTCTGAGTAGTACTCTTTACCTTACCTTGTGAAGATTAAGTAGAATGAGTAGAAATGTTAAGTGTTGTGAAACTATTTTTAATCTTTGAACATGATGATTAACCTTCAGATCTTCATGTACTTTTCATTCTGGCTATGTGAAATGTTAAAATGTGTTGTGAACCATAATAAGTTGTTGTAAAGGAGAAGAAGATAAGTGATTGTGTATTTCATTTGTTGTATTTCCTCAAACAGAACATTGAGGAACATTCAGTGGAATTTTCTTATTTTCAAATGAAGTTTTGCGGTATGTTCTTCATGCTTTCTGAGTAGTACTCTTTACCTTACCTTGTGAAGATTAAGTAGAATGAGTAGAAATGTTAAGTGTTGTGAAACTATTTTTAATCTTTGAACATGATGATTAACCTTCAGATCTTCATGTACTTTTCATTCTGGCTATGTGAAATGTTAAAATGTGTTGTGAACCATAATAACTCGGGAGAGCTATGGTAGAATCAACTAGGTTAGTCATGTTGAACTACGGGGAATAGGTTGATATGCTTCATAGGGAGATGCAAATGTTAGAGAAATATTCTTTGATCAGTTCAAAACTCGATTTAAGGAATTAAAGTCATTTTAACCAATCTTCTTTATGCACCCGGGAGAGAGTAAAGAAGAGAATTGCTCCTATTTATCAATATCAATATTTACAATTTGCATTTTATATTTCCTGCACTCCACTTACATCATTAAAAGGGTGGGTAGCTATAAAACTTGATATTCATCAATCCAATGTCTAGTTAAGAAGGATTTCTGAAGGATTTCCACTTTATACTTGCTTTTTATACTATAGGATTTGTTTGTAGGACTTTAACCCAATCTAAATTCCAAGCTAAGAATGAAATATGTAGGCTAGAAATTTTCTTAATTTAATTCCCTCGTTCCCTATGAGATCGACATCCGGAGTAAAAAATCTGATATTACTAAAACGACATATATACTTGCGTGAGTCCCTAGAGTGTGAGTGCACCTGGAAGCAGTATCAGATACCCTTGAGTGTTTGAACCATGGTATCTAATTTAAAGATTTAAGCATGCTTGAGAGACCCTTAGTCTATTTTGACTCACTTTAACTTAGTTAACCTAATTTTCCCATAGTCATCGGTGAGACTTGCCAATTAAACCAAAATCTCTTGCTCATTGCATTAGTTTAGCTTGAACTTACATGACTTGAAGCTCATTCAAAATTACGCTTGAGTCAACTTAGATCAGCTCATTTATTCTAGCCTAATAGACCTTAAACAATCCCTTGAATTTTTTAAAAGTTAAAATTAAATCAATCCCAAACTAAACTTGAAATTAAAATTGAATTAGTTTTGAAACTAAACTTAAAGCAAATAAGAATTTAAACTAAGCCTAAAAGAAGACTTAGAATTAAAATTTCACTTAAACCCTTACAAACTAAAGAACAAACTTAAAATTGAAAATTAAACTAAACATAAAATGAAATAAATTAAGCATAAACCTAAAACTAAACTAAAATGAAGATAATTTTAAATTAAAGAAAAAAAGATTGATGCATGCCTGCCTAGATGATCTTAGTTATAACATAAACTAAATAACCTAAGAGATGAAACCAACCTAAAACCAAAATTAAAAACTAAATTAAAGATAAAAAACTTGATTAAAACCTAAACTGATCTAAAAATTAAATTAAAATTAATCAAACTAAACCTAAAACATGAATTAAACCTAAACGTAAACGTAAACTCATACTATAACCTAAAAGTAAATTAAACAAAAAAACATTCAAACCTAAACTCAATGCAAACCTAAACTAAAACACAACCTAAGCTAAACCAAATCTAAATTAAAATGGATTAAAACCTAAATTAGGATCAAAATTAAATTCAAATCACAACCTAAGCTAAATCCAAGCATTAACAAAAACAATGCACACATCAAAATAAAAATCAAACCTAAATTAAATATAATTTAAAATATATGCAAAGTTAATGGCCGAACCCAATCTAAACTAAAGTAAAACTAAATCAAGTATAAGTCTAACCCTAAGACAAATCATACCCCACCAAACCTAAAGCTCGAGCTAATCTAAAACCGAACCTAAGGCTAAACCCATACACATTCCAACCCCAAATCAGCCTAATCCAACCTAAAGCCAAATCACCTTAATTATTTTGTTCAAGGCTTGCCCACCAGGTGTGCAAACAAAGAACCTCGTAACAGCTTAAGCCAAGCTCAATTCACAACCCAAGCTTGCTCAATTCAACTTTACCTGAGAACCCAAAATATTTAAACCCTAATAACAACCTAAGGTAGCCTCCACTTCTTCTCTATAACCATGTAGGCACTTAGCACAATCTCGTTGGTAGGTTCCCTAAACACCTGATGGAAATTATTCTCACCACCATAACCTCAACTAAGCACTCTCTAAGCTAGGACGTTTTCAATCCACAGGACTGAGCATTCGCTTCAAAGGATTAGAAAATCCTCTAAAGAGCCTCACGAGCTCTCTCTCTATCCCTCCCCATCCAAGTAAGCGTTCTAGCCTCACCTAACACCAAATCTAATGAACCAGTTGATGGGGCTAATTGAAGTCCTTGCTTAGGCCAACCATAGCTTGTGCATTTGATCAAGGGATGTTTATAGTACTTAGGCAAAGCTCCAGGATCTTCCAATTTCTAGAATTCCTCTGTACCTATAAGCATTGGTCAAATCCTCCACCCCTTATGTTTGGATTTGGTCATTTCTTCAGAAAAGGAAAAAAAAAAACTTGGTAGATCCAGTTCTAGGATATTGTATACTTGGTCGTGTTATCCTTCATGGTGGAAAAGATTTATAGATCCTTCTTCGGTTCTCTTGGATCAAGCGCGTCTAAATGGATGGTCTATCTAAAAGAGGAAGATGATGTCTCATCTATCTTAATTTGTTTAATCAGATGAAATGCCCTTACTTGGTTGATCCAAGTACCTTCTTCCCTCTAATGTTAGTAGACTAAGTGTCACTTGGTCTCTATATGGCAGCAATGATCCCATCCTTCTAGGCTCTTTCCACTTATAGAAGTCTACAAAATTAGTAGTGTTGAATGTGTAAATCTTTAAAGTAGGAGAATAATTAAGAAAATTCACTTAAAAATTCATAAAATTATAATAAATCAGCTGATAATCTAAAATTTAAGTGCAAATAGTCCATGAAACCAAGAAAATACTCTCTATTCACTAAAAATAAAATCAAAACATGTTTCTTATTGTATTTTTATTTTTTAAATAAATACTAAATTCTAATAGATAAATATTTAATCACTAAATCACTGCTGATTTGAATGAAATCCTCTGATAAGGTTCTTTAGGGGATTGTTAATTTTTGTTATTTTTTCTTGAAATTAATTGAATGTATCTAAGAAAATTAAAATTTTCTAATTGAGTATTTAAAATAAAAATAAAATTATTTAATGGGAATAGTATTCATTCTCATAATCCTAAATACACTCTCTCATCAATGAGAAACTCAAATATTAATGGTTGTAATTATTGAATTAAACTCAGATAAGGTTTAATTAACTAAATTTTCTTACCTAAATGATTTGATAATTTGACCGACAACTTCTAAGAAATTGTAATAAATCAAATTAGATTTAGAAATTCGCTAAACTTTAATTGTACAACCTGAAATAAGATTTGCATACCTACCTTCATTTCTTGTATATCTATCTATCAAATCATCTAAACTTCAATTTTCACATATATATATATACCGCCTTATCTATGCATGTAAAGGTGCATTTCACCCTTTTCATTTTATTTAAAACAGTGTTATTTTCAATTTCATACGAAAGATTTGGGTGATATAAATGTTTAAAAGTATAATTTAACAGTTAGATATGTAAATACATAAGAAATGGGTATATGTATGTAAATGCCCCCTAAACATACTCACAAAAAAAAAGTTAGTGTAATAAATAGAATTATGCACTCAACCCAAGTATGTAAATACATTTTTAGTGTCTCTACAACTATCAACATAATTCTAGTCTGCAAAATCAACATTTTGTAATTTTTCATATTATGAAACTCCAAAAGAAATTTTTTTTCTGACAATCCTGCAAAATAGCATGGTAAGAAGAAATCTGGTCGGTTTGTAGACTCCAATTCCAACAGAATAACCTTATGTCACTGCAGGCTTCTTCTGCTATATTCTTTTGACATGCAAGAGCCTAAAGCAATAGGCCAAGCAGCCTTTTTCCATTATTTGAAATCATTTTATTCAGAAATTTTTATTTTTTATTTTTTGAAGTTCATTTGTCTTCTGTTTTAATTCCAAGTGTCCAAGCCCTCATCAACCCTACAAGATCTGTCTTCTTTTGCTTTCTCTGATTACACTTGAAAACAAAAAAAAGCAAAGGAATAGAAAACAGCTTTCTGAAAAAAAAATAAAATAAAATTGACTGTAATGGCTTTTAAGCCAGAAATAACTCATAAAACAAGCTTCTTTATCTTCTTCCTAAGAACTTTGTCCAAATTACATAACAGTAAAGAGCTATGCACAGTATTTAGCCTCCATTATCACATAGAAAACACTGCTTTTAACATGAAGAATCATAGAAAAAATATTGCTATGAACAGATGAAATGTAATAAAAAAAAAAGGAAATTATGAGCTTTTTCAGTAGGTAGAACTTTGATTATGATTTTCAATGAAATGTGCAGAAGTCTGTGTAAATTGGCCACTCTTCAGATTATGAAACATCATGGCACTGAATAAGCTCCTCCATTTTTATTTCTCGGCTGAAGTCCTGAAAGATTCCTCAAAATTACACCATGAAGAATTCAAAATTTTGATAGATAACGGTTGGAAAAAGAGTAGCAGCAGCTGCCTTTGGAGAAATATCATAAAAAATCAAAATTTATTCTTGAAATGGTAAGGAATGGAAAATTCATAATTGGTTGCATTGAATGATTTTCAGCTAATTCTTATAACATTTAGTCCAAAAATATATAAATTTTCAAATCAGACTTCAGATACTTCTAATATGGGGTAAAACAATCCTCAGTTTCTTTTCAAGGGAGAATTGTTTTTAGCCCTCATTCAAAGTGTTTGAGGACAAATTTCTAATTTTTATAAAATATGGGATTAAAATAACCATTTTGGCAGAGCAATTTTAGTGTTTTAGTGGTCCCAGAAGAAAAAGCTCACCTAGTACTATCCTTCCTTCAAGCACACACCATTTGGGAAAGAGGAAAGAGTGCTCTTGGCAGCATTCATTCCCTGTGCCTCCAATGAGAAAATCAAGTTTTCTCACCTGGCGCTTTTATGGATACCAACAATAGAATCTTAATCACAAAAATCCACTGTACTAGATTGAAAGGAAAAGCTTGTTAAGACAAAAAGTACCATTCTTTGATCACAAGAATAAGAAAGATTTACGTAGATGCTACTCAATTTCTATGTATTTACATGTCTAACATCATATATGAACATTTCACTTTTTAAAAGTTTAAATGGTGGTATTTATGATGTGATATGAAAGATTTGGGAGGTATAAATATAAAAAAAAAAAGTAAACTTTAGATGTTAGGTATGTAAACACATAATTGGGTAGTATGTATCTAAATGCCCAAAAGAATAAAAAAGATACCTTTCAGAAAAAACCAAGCTCTGCATATCCATGTGAGTATGGGAGAAGCTCCTCAATTTCAACTCGTGAGCTCGGGAAGCTCATGTTCTTGATTCGGCTATGATTTATAGATTCGACTTCCGCAACAAAAATACTATAGACCGGTCTGTGGTCCGAGAACTTTGACTCTCCCCGCACGTAGGATAGCTGGTTTAATCCTCTTCCGTACCATAGTATGCGATCGCACCTTTTTCATTCAAAAAGTAGAGATATTAACTTCAATCAATTAAGGCTTATAGAGCAACACAACCAGGTTTTAGCTTACCACGCCGGCGTGCGTCGCTTCTCCTTCGAATGCAACTCATCTCCAGCATATCGGTCCGAGTTGTTTGAATATTTATATGTGGGTGGAAAGTAAATTCTTCCTTCACTCCATCCATCAAAGACTCGGCCACATTTTTGCTCTATTCGAAGCTGATTATGTTTAAAATAAAGTAGTTGATGAATCTTTGTTTTTCACTATTCAAATTGATGATGAGAATCTTTGCTTTCTCTTTTTACATGAGTTCTAACCATGGTGAATCTTTAGATGATAGAAAAAGTGCATACTTCCACGCATACCACCCAATTCCAATGTATTCACATATCTAACACTTAAAATTTAGTTTTTACATTTATACCAACAAAATATTTCTTTTCACATCAAAAATACCATCATTTCAACATTTAAAAAGTGAAATACCCCTTTTTAAGCATAGGTAAGGTGGTATGTGTGTAAAAATTGAAGTTTAGGAGTTAGATATGTAAATACATAGGGAATTAATATGTGTGTATGTAAATCTACCAAAAAACAAAAAAGGTAAGCAAGAGAAGCAAGCATGGAATCATTTATACAGTAAGATCATCCTCTGCTTCTACTTGGATATTTTAATGAAATATAAGGAGATTGGTAACCAAAATTACTCCATGCATAGTAAAAAATAAAAGTATTGGCAAACTACCTGATCTTTCTCCAATAATGCTTTCCAGTTGTGCATCTCTACAAGAGCCTTTGCCGAGCGATAAGAGAGAGCTATCCGATAGTTCAAATCGCCGAGCCATATTATTCGACTAGAGAAATACATTAAAAAAAAAGTTAGGAAAAACAAATTCCTATTTTCTCTATAGAATTCCAATAATTTCAGGAAACATAATGAAGGGCTCACTCATGTTCAAGGATCGATTCAGGAGATTTTTCATCATCAATTCTATTGACTCTTGGAAATCTCGTTTTACGAGTAATCTCCATTACATCAGAGTTCCTCCGCAATTCATCGCCCTCCTTTTGACCCGAAGTTAAATGGCTGCAGACGAAGCAAAAGCTTGTTTGGTGCAATGACATGCTAATCGCGATCGAACCCTGGAGAACACGGGTTATAAGGGAATCATGCAAAGCTAGCGAAATTTAATGTGATATTCTTGGTTTTATGAAGTTTATAAAAATTTGAATTGCAAACAGGAAGCTTGAAAACAGTTTAAAATTTAGCTTATCAAAAATGGGAAATTTATATACATAGCAAACAATTCTTATGTATTTACATATCCCACACATAAATTTTCATATTTACATATACACAACACTTTGTTGCTTCAAATATGCACGAAGAGGTGTAGATCACCTTTAAAAAGTGATAACGGTGCTATTTTTATGTGATATTAAAGATTTGAGTGCAATGTGTGTAAATACTAAAATGTAAATGTGACATATGTAAATACATAAGAATTGTGTGCTATGCATGCAAATGCCCCAAAAATATCTATATAAAGATAGAATGATTTTTAAATTAATGTACCTTGTTCCCAAGATATCCCATCAATCCTCGCCCGACGCAAGAGACTTTGATGTTCTTAACCTCATCACGTATTTCACTCCTAACCCATACCATAAGAAGAATCCCAACCATTTGCTTACTTGCAACCAAACAATACCTAAGCAATTCATAGATTAGGCCATGGAGCTTAACTTCAAGAGTATATATCAAACAATAGAAGTAGTAAATGAGTTACTACTTAAAAAAATTACCGAGAAAATCCGATCGACGCATCCCTTTCTTCCATGGATGAGGAAGCACCATAACCATAAGACATTGGAGAAAAGTAAGCAGTGGTCGGTGAATCGCCGATGACATTCTCTTCATCAGAAGAGCCATTACCCCATCGAAAATTGGGTTCGAAATCGCTCGGTCTGCTCCCAAACATAACGCGCTCGCACACGCTATGTCTTCGATCTAATCTAGGCTGAGGAGCAAGAATGTCGCCATCCATTCTTAGGCTACGGCTCAATGACTGAAACGAACGGCGATGAAAAAAAGATGAATTTCTTTGATGGGATGATGATGAGCCCTCAAAATCATCATCAAGCTCCACAATTGGATCAGGTACTGGGGAAGGTGTCTGGTAGCTACTGCTACTACTTGTGCCAGGAAGATTGTTGAGTGTTTTTCGAATGAGAGCCACCCATTTCTTAGCCGGGCCATTGTCCTCCGCGCCGAGAACATTCCCGGCATTAAGCGGAACTATTTCCTGAAACCTATAAGCTTCAACAAGATATTAATGTTTGTTTGGAGAATCATAAATCTAATGAATGCGACTAGGAGAGTTTTATACCCCAAAACATATATGTCTGCAGGAGGAGACGTATGGAGCCAATCCTCAAGATTCAAATAACTTGGTGGGGATTTACCACCAACATTCCAAGTTGCAGCAAAGATCCTTTCATAAAAAACAAGGAATAGAATAGAATTTATACATGTTTTAGATTGAGAAAAAAATTGAAGAGCAAACAATAAGTGACATGAGTTAGATGGTTGAGAACTGGATTTGAAACCTGTATTCTTGAGTTTCTGTGACTTCTGATACATCACAATCAATCTTTCCTCGCTGATATCGATCAGTGTTCATCTTGGATAGTCTCTCTAGGATTCAAAATGAAGTAAATAAATTAGAGAGGAACCGAGTATTTAAGAATTGGGCAAAGAAGAAATGAGTTACAAAATCAGCTCAATAGTGAGAGAAGGTTTATATGACCTGTTTTACTTCTTCTTACAGAAGATAAACTTCTCTCTGTGAAGCTGTTCCTCCACTCTCCACTACCTCCTAAAAAGAACAGTGGGGGCAAAGCAGGAACTTGAACAATAGAGCAAAAAGAAAATAAATAAAATAAATAAAATAAATAAAATAAGAAAACCCTTTTTTTTCGTTTTGTTCTTTTATTCAGCTGAACAAGTTGCTGAAAATCAAATAATGAGAAAAAGTAAAAGCTGAATTAAGAAGAGAGCAAAAGAAAATTTCAAATAAGTAATATGAAAGCGATAGAACTCTAATACAAAATGAGCAAATTTCCCTTTTTTTTTCATAGGAAGAAAGAAAAGTCCATTCCGAATGTCCTGATTCAGAAATATGTTCCTTATTCAGATCAACAAGGTGGGCATATTACCCATCATCGTTTTTAATAATAAACAGTGGAGGATACCTATCTAATCCGAAAGGGGTAGCTCAGCCACACTGTTAACTTCCTGTTTAGACAGATACTATACTACGTGATGAAGAAAGAAGCTTACCTCTTCTGACAACATCATCGGCGTGAAAGTCCTGAGCTTTGCCCTTGAGATTGAACCATTTCCGAAAAAGAGATTTGGACCATGAAAGCTTAATACCATTGAAAAAAAAAAAACAGAATTACAGAATTACAAAGTTAGCAAATTAAGGAAGCATAAGAACATATAAAGATTTTAAAAGATGGCCATTAATCGTTAAAAAACCTTGCTTTTCTTAGAATTCCCATCTCTCATTGTCTCTGAACAATCTTGACCGCCTTCGGCCTAATCAGTGTGAAATGAAAGAGGCATTTGGGTTGGAATAGGATAGTTGCAGAGAGAGAGAGAGAGAGGATGCCAAAGGAGGTGTTTTTATGGAAGACGAGGAGAATCCCCTTATGGGCAAATATGATTTCTGGGTTGTCGTATTAGAAGAACTAGGTGATATACAGGATTGCTTCCTGATCCGCTTTAATAAAGAGGAAATGAGCCGCTTTTCTGCCTGAAATGGTTTCTGTTTCACGATTCCAGAGCTTAGGGATCGAAGCCAAGTAAGTTGGGGGGATTGGAAGAGGAGATTAGCTCAAGGAGTGACGAAAAATGGTTCCTTTTTCTGTTTTCTGGAGAGGGGAAGCAATGCAAAGCGCCATGGAAGTGAGAAATAGTTTTGAAGAGGTGGATGGTTGTTGGTAGAACTTTCTCCTTCAAATCCTAGTCCTTTGTAGCCAATGAAAGCCCCGAATTGAAGAGAGAATAAAGTGTTCACTTCAGCTACTTGCCCTGGCGCTCACTCTCCCTCTCTCTCTTCCGTTCATCACTACCTCTGTTGGGCAGAACTATAAGAAGCTTAAAAATGAGAATTTGTTTTTTTATTTAAAGGAAATGGGAATGGAAAAATAAAAAAAGAGTTGACCGAGGTGGTGCCCGGGCCTAGCAGGCTGTTACATCTCGTAGCCCGCGGTCAGGCAGATGTACTCTGCCTTGAGGCTCTTTCTCCAAGTTTTGATTTTTAACTTTGTTTCAGAGTTGGGAAATCATGCGGCTTGTTTGGATAAGGATGTGATAATTTGCTCAGTTAGCTTGTTATTGAGTTTTATTTCAGTGTTTAGATCATTTGAGTTCTTTTTAAGATGAAAAATGAAGAAGAATTAACAAATCATGAAGTTTTTGTTATCTTTCTTTTCAATTTAAATTAGAAGTATTGGCACAAAGCTTTAGATTGTGTTTGATTTTAAGATGTAAATAAAGGGAAAGATCTAAGAGATTTTAGAGCTCTTTATGATGATTGATGTTGATAATATGTACTAGCTTTTGTTGTCATGTAGTTGTTGGTTTTCAGTTAATGTTTGATTGTCATCTTTCAGATATTGGCTCTTGGCCGTCATCAAGGGATTATCAACATTTGATTATTGTCTCTAGATTATTATGATTAAAGTATAATAATTTGATTGTTATTAACTAATTCACATTGTCTAACATATAACTCTTGACTATCATCTTCACCCTTTATTATTTCAGTATATTTCTCTATTATAGTCATAGAAGTCAATCCAAGGGCTATATTTTGTAATATTGTTTTCTCTATTGGAGTGAAATTTTAATTTACTTGACATAATTTTTGTATGTTGGAATTTTTTAACTAAGCTATGTCCCATGATTTTCTTACTCTCTTAAATTTTTACGGAAACATTTTGTCATTTTTTTAACTTTTTTTTTCTAATTTATGTGTCTCAAATCATTACTTTAAATTAAGACATAAGACTATCTTTCTACTATTAAAAATTTTATACCGTGCAACACTTTGACACCATTTATAGGAACATGCTCGTCATTCTAAACTTTAATAATATTTATAAAAAAGATTAAGAATTAACCCCCACTACACGGAATCTTGAAAATAGCGTCTGAAATTTACATCAAATTTTTCTGACACCAAAATTTGCTTGTGATTTGTGGTTGTAAAGCGATGAAACATAACTTTTGACATTTACAACAGATTTTGCGTTTGATTTACGTCCAGCAATTCGACGCAAAAGATATTTCAATGACAGTGAAACCTACAACTGTGTTTGCAATGATTTGTGGGTCATATTTGCATAAAATAAATCAAAGCATAAGCTTTACTTAAAAGTATCGAACTATATCTGATGTGAATTAGATGAGAACGCTAACGCAAATGACCTGAAATACCCATCTCGCACCTTTCATTTTCTTTTCTTCTTTGCACCCCTCAAAAACACCCTCGCACCATGTCCCTCTCGTGCCCTTTAAACCCTTGCAGCCTCTCCCTCCCTTCTCTGTCGAGACCCTCACTGTCACTATCGTCGTAGCCATTTCGTAGCCCTTGCTCCTCTTGCTCCCGGTTCCATGACCAAGCCTTCAGGATACGGTCGCTATTAGAGCTAGTTGGGAAGGCATGGAACGGAGACCACGAGAATTCCCATATTTCTCATCCTTTTGCTCTACTCGTATCAGGAAACATCGAGGAATGTAAATCTATTTGTGCCATTTTTATTCATTTTAGATTTTGGTACGTATGTAAGAATTGAAGTTTAGGTGTTAGGTATGTATATACATAAGAATTGAGTGGTATGTATGCAAATCTCCATAAACATTGAAGTTTAGGTGTGAACTATGTATATACATAAGTACTGAGTGATATGCATGAAAATCTAGATAGAGATGTTATTAACAGAATTCAAGTTGGTTTGGTTGAGATAGTGGAGGAATGCTTCGGGTCTATTGTTCAAAGTGATGATAATATAGATGTGGATGTTTTTTGTAGAATTCAAGTTGATTGGTTGAAATGGAGGAATGTATTGGGTCTATTGTTCAAAGTTATGGCAATATAGATGGGGGTGTTATTTGTAGAATTCATGTTGATTGACTGAAGTGGAGAAATGAATCTGGTCTATTGTTCGAAGTGATGGCGGTATAGATGGGGATTTTATTAGTAGAATTCAAGTTAATAGGTTGAATTGAAGGAATGCAACGAGTATATTGTACGATAAATAAGTACTACTCATACTGCTAGGAAAATTTTATATGACGGTGCTGAGACCAGTCATTCTTTATGGCATGGAATGTTGGCCTTTAAAAGAGAATCATAAAAAAAAATCAATTGTTTCTAAGATGACAATGTTTAGGTGGATGCATGAGTTCCTTGACACTTAGACAAAATGATAAATAGAAATATATGTGATAGGGCTGTCGTAAATTGAGTGGCAGACAAGTTTAGATAGAGATGTCTTAAACATGGTTTAGTCGCATTAAATGTCAACCAACTGATAAGCCTTGGAAGATCCCAAGATCTACATGATCAAGTAGTGTCGACTTCACCACATGAAGCGTGTTACTTCAAGGAGGTTCCTGAGGTTATTTTCTTTAATGAAAATACACACCTACAAACCACTAAGCATAATCATCCACTATATGTATTGATTAGTAGTGACTAATTTTTAATTTCTGTAGTAGTTGCACTGATTAATAAATGTACATCTATGTTTCAGATGGATATTCATAATTTGAGAGCTTAAATGTATAAAAAATTATATGAAGGATGAAAATGATTCACTTATTTGTTCTTGAATATTGTTGAGGAATTCATGCATGTAGCATCACAACTGCCCATTTATTATTCAGATGGTAAGTTCTGATGTCCTTGTGCAAAACACAAAATCAAGTGTATATGTGACCTGAAGAAGTAAAGTTGGATCTTTACCGTATGGGGTTCAAACCAAGTTATTGGTTCTAGATTGCACATGGTGAGTAAGAATCAGAAGTTTAGTACGATCAAGTTGGTGCCTCAACAAGTTATGGCCATCTTCCAGAAGAATATGATCCTAGCACATATAAGAAAATTGTTCATGATGCTCATAGAGATTTTTTTTTGTTGAGAGTGTTCCAAACGAAAATGAAGCACTGAACAATGAATCACAATAGTTCTATGACTTATTGAGTGTTGCACAATAATCTTTATGGGATTGTTGCACTATACATACGGAGTTATCAGTGGTACTGAGAATATCTAGCATTAAATCTAATTTTGACAAGCCCAGAGAAGAATTCAATCAAGGTTGTTGTGCAGCGTACTGGTTGCGAAGGGAAGAAGACATATAATTATGATGTCGTCGTTAGAGGAAACACACACACCTGGAGATGTAATTCAATTGCAATATTCGAGTAATGCTATTAACATTATTACTTGTTCAATTTTTAGTGGTTTGATCCTGTTATGAATCAAGAAACATGAATACTTACTCTTTATGATATCATCAAACTCAAAATGAACAGGTGATATGCGAAGTTTGATCCATTTGTTATGGCACACTAAGCTACACATGTTTATTACCTTTGATACCCTAGTGGAGCAAGGAATAAAGTTGATTGTGCTATTGTTATGAAAAATAAACCATGAAAAATTATTGAGCTACAAAGTATTATAGAATTCATTTACCAAGAGGAAGGTATGTCATATTTTCTTATTCAGGCTCAAAAAAATGTTGAAATGTTTGTGTTAGAGGATACCACAGAAATTTTTGTAGAGGTTCTTCATGATATTGTTGACCTCATTTTGGTGAGGTATGGTTTCCCTCCTAGAACTTAGGATTTAGCCATAGGGTCTTTCTTTTGACTATCCAAGAAGACTAGTGATGGGACCCACCTCACATAGAAATCAGCCATAGGGTCTTTCTTTTGACTATCCTAGAAGACTAGTGATGGGACCCACCTCACATAGAAATTCTAGTCATTTCTTGGCTCTCTTATGAAGTCTCGAATGGGTGGTCTTAAATCCTCAACAGTTTGTTGAGTTGATTTAGACCAACATGATGAAGATCAAAGAAGAGTTCCCATAGGACCATGAGGCCCTAGGAAAAACCCTTATGACTTGGCCACTCACCTCACTCACACATGCACTACACTCATACTCCTCACTTACACATTCACATCACCACATCCACCATAACCTTTTCACCACTTCACATCACCACACCTCACACCTCCATGACCACCTTCACAACCCTGAAATCCACCCAAAATCCAAAATTTTCCAAACTCTTAAAAAATTCCCAAATTACACAATTTTCCACCTCAATTACCCAAAATTATCAAAATCCCTAATTTTGATTTGAAAATTCACCAAAATCAATCCAAGCCACCAAATCCACCAAAATTCAAAATCAATCCCACCCAATTTTAAGCCCAAGTCAAAAATTACCCAAATTCAAATCCAAATTCATTCCACATCCACTTCAAACCCAAAATTCATCAAAATTGAACCCACATGCCAAATTCAATGTCACTAAGCCCATGCCCCTAATTTCATAATGATAAATTTAAACTCCACCAAGCTTATGACTAATTTTAAAAGCCCAAGACAAATCTATCATAACCCATTTCAAAATCCCATCAAAGTTAAGCCCAAGTTTAAGAATGAATTAAAATAATAAGCTCATCATGATAAATTTCCAAAGGCCCTTCGTGACAAAACCAAGCGTCCTCATCACATTGAAAATTAAATTTAATTCAAAGTGCATAGTTTCATGATTTTAAATTTCCAAAATTGAGCTCATGACCAAGTGACATAAAATGCACAAATTATCCAAATTCCTTCTTCATAAAAACTACCCAATCCCCATGCAAACCATGAAGCCTCCTCCAAGCCACATGTGACCCACATTAGTCATGCACAAATCATTATCCCTTCAGTGACAAAAGGAGGGACCTCTTTTAAGGTCTCCTAAAAAGCACATAACCACTCCCAAACTTTCACATAAACCCACGAATCACCATGATTGGGACTTGTCCACCCAAGCTCCAAGGCTGACCTTCAGACCTAGCCACCTTTGGAGTGACCTAAACCCATTTCCATGAACCAAGCCCAAGTCAAATCCAAAATTAGCCCAAACCCCAAACCACTTCAATCCACCCTTGGGCACTTGATAAAAGACAATTGACTTCACTTCTCCCCACCACTGACTTCCCAGAGTCAGATGGTGACCACCCAAGCTCTGGCTGACCACCATAGATGGCGGCAAGCCCAAACCCGAGAGCCACCCATGAGCAAAAACCCAAAATTTCATTCATCCAAGGTGGTTAACTCCCATTGAACCCTTGTCGTTGCCTTACCTCCACATAAGTGCCCCTTTGGATCCCTTGACTTGGCTAATTAACCACCATGGCCGGGTTTATAAATTGACCACCCCTCATGGCCAAATGGGAAGATATGCACAAACCTTAGGGAAACTCTGCCAAATTTCTTCCAAATCTCCTTGCACTCAAACGAAACTCATCTCCACCATTCCTAACCCTTCTTCATCACTGAGAAACCCTAATTTTCCAACTGAAAATCAGGAATTTTTTGGCAATTTCATCAACCACACAAAAAATTCAAATTGATTGTTCCAAGAGCTTCCTCATACTCTAAAATTACTTCCTCAATCAAAATCTCCCTTTCTCATAGCCTCTAACCTAGTGCTGGACCAAACCTGATCAACCATTTGGTCTAGGTCATACCTAGACCCAACCACAGAGAAAACTATGACTTAGAGGAG